TCCTTTAATTAAATTTACTTAGAGTAAATTAAAATAGAAAATTGAATATCAATTATTAAATTATCACTTTTAAGCTATTTTGCAAATATTTTCTCTTCTTTTAAGCTTAAAATGTTATTCAGTGGTCACGTGTTCCATATACTTTACTATGAGAACCATAATGACCACTGAATAACATAACCTTACAGTAATGTTATTCAATGTTCACGGGCCCCATATACTTTACTATGGGAACCATAGTGACCACTGAATAACATAACATTAATAATTAAATTGAAATTTTATATTGGTAATTTTCAAACTTAATTATATTTTCAATAAATTAAATAAAATAAATTGAACTAAATTTTGAAATTTTCTTAAAACAGGGAAGGAATTTCAACAACATAGTGACGCCATTGAAAAAATGTATTATTTTGTAGTATTTTTATTGACTACAAAATTTAATACTTTTTGCAATGTTTCTTTGTACATTTCTTTGTATCTATGCATGTTTATCTACACTGAATAATTTTTTAATTACTTAATGTTTTTCTCATAATTTAAAGTATAACTTTCTTTCATTTCGAAAAATAACAATTAAAAATTCGATTCATTAAATTTTTATTTCTATGTTTACCAACAGAACTGAAAGTTTAACAATTAATTTATCAAAATTTTAATAGAGAACAAGGTTCATTAAAAAGCAATTTTTTTTGGTTTCAAATTTTAAACTTGTTAATAAATACTTTTAACTTAATATTTTAAATACTTTTACTTACTATTAAATACTAAATATTTTCTCACTTTCTTTAGGAATTAAAAATGTGAATTAAAAATTTATCCAGTGTGTTGTTTATTAATTTCTATTTTCTATTTCCGAATGTGTGAGCAGGTTTTGAGCTCAGATGACGGATGCGTCCCGGGACGTATGGGTGAGCCTAACGTGCCCCTTTATCCCTAGTGTAGGTCAATTTGCATCTGGGCGGTATGTGAGAGAAACGTGGAGTAATTGTGCGAGTACCTGTGATTTAAAAATAGGTTTGTATTTAATAGATACGGGGTAGGAAGGAATAGCTTTTTTGTATGAAAGAATGGAATAATTTTTTTTTCACCGTGATAAATACTTGTTTAGGTAGGGACTTCGGAAAAAATTGCCGCATACGTACACGAACCAGACACCTGCGTTTGAAGCAGTGTACAACCATACGTACACGAACCAGACACCTGCGTTTGAAGCAGTGTGCAACCATACACACGAACCAGACACCTGCGTTTGACGCAGTGTGTACCACTGGAGTACCAGTGAAAACCTTATTTGGTTATGTTTCATCTTTATTTAAATTTGATATATCTTTTTCGTCACTATGTTGTTTTATATTTGCTATTTAATACAATTAATAAATATTGGGTCATCCACGTATAACGTCACATACTTTACATCCCTTTTTGCCTCCCCCCCCCTCCTTCCATATCGATGCCATATATTGTTAGGTAATTAGGACCTAGGTTTTTTGTAGGTAGGCGCACAAAAAAATTACTGCCTCCTTTCCTTTTCCTTGAAGTGTGACGTAATATATGGACAATCCATATTTTCTAATTGCTTTAAATATTGTTTTACATTGTATTTTATGTTTCTTTGTCTTTGCTTTGTTTGTTTTCTACTTTTTTCAGGAAAGAAATATGACAAATTTTGGTTTATTTTTTAAGAACTAAAATTTGTCGTTTTGTATGTAAGGTGTGGATGTACCAGTTACCGTCCACTTAAGGTCATGTTATTCAGTGGTCACGTGCCGCATATACTTTACTGTGGGGCACGTGAATACTGAATAACATGACCTTAAGGTTATGTTATTCACTGGTCACGTGCCCCATATACTTTACTATGGAAAAATGTCACACTGAATAACATGACCATAAGCCCCAGTTTCCGTCCACTATTATTTTAACAACAAGAGTAATTATAAAAAAATTATTTCCTTAAATCTGTTTATGTGAACTAAAAATATATACATACTCTGTAAAATTATAACTATAATTATCATATATTAGTAATAATCTATATTCAAAAATTAATTTAAATAAAAAAAATTTTAAAAATGGACGGAAACTAGGACGTAGACGGAAACTAGGATATTCACGGTAAACATATCAGTTACCGAGGCTGTTCTCTTATGAGGGGCTGGAAATTTCAACAGCGGTAATCGTTGGCTTTTTTTTCAAAAAATGTTATAAATATAAAAAAAAATGATAAGAAGAAAAAAGATGCGCAAGCAAATTTTCTATAAGATAGTGAAAAACTTTATTTAAAAAAAATTATTTTTGGAGGTGTCAGGGGTTAACGAATACCGCTGTAAAAATTTTTTGTGTTGTTGTAAGATCCAGCCCCTCATATGTTGATGTTACCATGCAGATAAATAAAATTAAAGCCTAAAATGTATAATTTATTTGTCGATATAATATTTACTTTCATAATTAAATTAAATTTTAATTTTTAATTATTTGTTTAATTAAAAATAAAAACAGCTCATATAACCTTATTAATATATTGTATAACCCACATAGCACAAGATATTGCAGAAACTCCTCTATAAGTTTCTTTGAAAGCTTTCAAAAAAATTTTCCGCTGGAATAGGAGGGACATTTTTTTGTAATATTCAAATGTCAGTGATCACAAGACATAAGTTTTCTTGTATGCAAGATATCAACTTTCGGTTGGTACCCATTTGAAGCTAGACTCTTTACCTAACTTTTATCTCATACCTTATACCTAACTTTTTAGGCTAGGAAAAATATTTGAGAACGATTTTTAAGATTTTAGGAATTTATTTTCAATATGTAAACTTTTTTGCCTTTAAATGGCCATAAGTTTTCTTGTCTGCAAGATATCAACTTCCGGTTAGTACCAAATTGAAGCTAGACTCTTTACCTAACTTTCATCTCATTGCGAGTTTAGGCTAGGAAAAATATTTGAGAACGATTTTTTAAATTTTAGGAATTTAATATTTTTAACATGTAAACTTTTTTGCCTTCAAATGGCCATAGGAAGAACAACATAAGATCTTCTTCGTTTAAAATTGTTTATCTTTTTCTACACAATTACAACTGCCATAAGAATATCTTTGTCTGAAAATCTTATTCTTATTAACTTCGTCTTCTAGTAGAATTGAGATATGACTATCTCTTTTCAAATTTAACCATAATTTCTTTCTCTTTCCAAAACAAAATGCATAAGAGTGTCTTACTCTACCTAATTTGCATATCTACTTGTTTCTAAATAAGGATTATAAGGTTTACTCAATATTCTATTGTAAGGAAAGTTGAAATTTTTCACTGTCAGCTTAGATGGCTTCTGCAATATCTTCTTCTATGTGGGAATTATTTGTTTCAGAGGAATTCGCAAACTGGAAAAAATTAATGGAGTCTAAGGTAATAAGTAATATCTAGCTATCTAATAAGTAATGTGGTTATTTTTTTTAATAAGTAAATTTAAAAAAAAAATTAGTAAGATTTACTCTGGATTTTGTAAAATTGTTTGAACAATTTATATTTATTTAATATATATATTTTTTTGTTTAATGCATAAAAAATATGTTTAAAAATGTCCATGCTTGATTAGTAAAATAATAATTGTATGCAATGTAAAGTAATTAATCTTGTCTCAAAAATATTTTATATATTTGTTTGACACTTGAGTAAATTTTACTAATACTTACTAAAATTTATTTATCTGGAAATAATTAAAATGCGATTTTTTGTGCAGAGATAAATTGGGAACTTTGCTGTAATATCTTGTCCTATTTGTGAATTTTCTAATAATATTTTAAAAAGACTACTCTTTAAATTTAAATTATTAAATTATTAGTAGTTTATAATAGTAGTTTATAATTTATAGTATTTATAATTAGTAGTTTATAATTATAGTTTTTATTAATTAAAGTAGGTAGTATTCATTCAGTTATTTCTTACAAAATTACTGATCTAATTTGTGAATATAAGTCAAATTTAGTTTGACCTAACCTAAAAGTAAATTTAACTAATAATTATTTACTATTTACTGTTTCATTAGTGAAATATTTCTATTTAAATTAGTAACTAACTTTTACTATTAATTTATTTATTTTTAAATAATTAAAATTTAGAGAGTACTGTTTATTAGGCAAATCTTACTATTATCTTATATTAATCATACATTATTATTTGCTTATTTTTAGAATTCTGACAGAAAATGATACTACAGAAAGAGGACATAAAATACGATATTCCCATTAGAGATGGGAAAGTAAAACAGATTACTGAAAGTAAGTCCAATTGTGTAAAGTATCCAATTGTGAGATTAATATCGAAAGAGAGATTGAATACGGAGAAGACTTCTAATGATACTAATGGTAATTGTAAATAATATTATATTTATTTTTACATATAAGATTATAAAATTTACTCTGAATGAAATATAAAGTAGTCACTGTTCACTCTTCTAATTAGTAAATTCCCCCTCGAAATAATTACTAATCGCAATTATACTTTCAATAATTATAACAAAAAATGTTCCCTAGTCTCTAATTGAGAATTTGATGGCTCAAACAATTTTTTTTTCTTGCAATTACTTAAAATTGCGTTTCAATCAAATTATATAATTTGGCTTTTACTTAAATTAGAGGGAAGGGAAATTTTACATAAACGATTTCAATAAATTAACAAAACGCAACTCATATTTTTCTTGTTCTCATCGCGGATCGTTTTCATTCTGATGATTCAGTGTTTGAAATGTATATGTAGTGTAATAAAGAGAGGGATGAGTTTTATACAGAAGGTCGTCGTGGTGAAAGGGAGGTGGAGGAGAATTTTCTCTATACTCTACATTTTATAGATTGTTGAACAGGGGTGTTTGTCACAATTGTTCCGTCCCTGCGTTTACTGGGGAAGAATGGAGGGGTGATTATTTAGGGGTTGGTTTGCGCCGTTCTTCAACCAACAACACCAGCGCCACTGTGTGTTCTCCCCTAGAACTATTCGCTCGACTATAAGGGTCTAACCTTATCATCTGGTTTTTGTTGAGAGGAGAGGAGAGAGTTTCGTGCGCTGTCACGTTTCTCAGTTCTCTCGTGGTTTGCTTCTTCATTTTTTTTTTATTGTTGTTATTATTTTTTTCCTCATTCATCACGCACACATTAAAGTCAATAATTGCACGCGAATTTATAAACGAGATATAATATATATCCCAAAAATATTCATATATGACGTAACATATTTTACAGAAAATATAATATACAAAGAAAAAAAGAAAACTGTTTATTAGAGACGTGTTTTTGTGAAAACAAAGTGAGCTTGAAAAAAAAGAAGCACAAAGAGAAAGAAAATAAAGACAGAAAGAAAGAAAGAAAGAAAGGAGACGATCATCCCTTGATAAAAAAGAAAGCAGTGCCCGGGAATTCTATCATCAGCTTCTTGGCCTTCATGGCAAGTCTCATGAAATATTTATTATGTTTATAATGTTTCGATTGTTTGTCTTCTCATGAAATCGTATTTTTTGGTTTTTTCTTTTGTTATTTTGTTATTTCTGATGAATAGTATGTGCTTGCGAATTGTATTTTTCTTGTTGTTGTTGTTGGAAAATATTTCTTGTTTTGAATTTTATTATTTGATACAATATCCTTTGTTGTCTTTATTTTAACAATAGTTTGTTTTTATTTTGAATTTCTCAAAAAAAAAATTGTTTTTCATTTTTGAACTATGGGAAACGTTGAATTTATATAAAATATTAGTTCATTTGTTGCTTTCGTTCTTTACAGTTTGTGATTATTTTGTTCTTATTTTTTGGCAAGTTTCGTTTTTTATTGTTTTTTAAAAATTGCTTATTAAATTGTTTATGAACAAGGAAATTGTATTTACTTTATAGGATTTTTTTAGCTTTAGTTAATATTAAATTTGGATTTCTAAATTAAATTTGGATCATATTGTACCTACACTGAATACTAAAAATTGTATGAAATAATTTATTGGTTGATTATCAAAAAAATATTTCTTTTCGACAAGTAATTTTTTATTTAAATCAAATGAACTTTAATAAAATTAGTTATTTCAATTTATTTAATTATTTTTCAGTGTATAAATAATGTATGTTTATAAAATTTATTATTATCGTTCTTATAATTATAATTAGTATAATTAACATAATAATAAAATGTTAAATAATTATTATAATTATTATTCTAATAAAATTATAATTATTGTAATTGTAATTATTTTAATTAAAATTATTATAATTGCAATTTATATAATTAAAATTATTATAATTGAAATTTTTATAATTACAATTATTTTTAATTATAATTATTTTGACTATAATTACTTTTAATTATCTATTGGATTTATTATTGTAGTTATAATAATTACAATCATTATAATTATATTTATTTGCAATTGTTATCAATTAGTTACTAATTAGTAATTACAGTTATAATTACAAAAAAGTTATAGCAAAAACATCAAGTAATTATTATTTGCAACTAATATTATAATTATAATCGAAATTATTTTCATTATAATTGTTATAATTGTAGTTATTTTAATTAAAAATCTAATTATAATAAATTGTGATTATTTTAATTTTAATGATTATATTTAAAATTATTATAATTATAAATTCAATGCATTTTTTGGAAGCCATAAAATTATTATATAAATAAAAGATGTTTTAGTTTTTCTGTTTGACCTAATGGCCAAATAGAAAAACTAAACCATCTTTTATTTATATTATAATTATTATTTTTATTTAGAATATCGATTGTTATAAATATCGTAAAATTTGTGTGTATTATTATTATTTTTTCTCATTTTCTTATATTAAGGAAAAAAAATGAGGTACGAGATTTTTTTCTTTTTTTAATTTAAATTTTGAATTTGTTGTCAGTCGTATAAATTATAGAAAGTCGTGGAGTCGAAATAATTTATGGAATATCGATGTCTATCCCTTTTAAAGGCAGGACTAAATATCTCTTGTCAGTAGAAAGAGCTTTAATGGAACGTCAGTCTGACCAAGTCAGACAGGCTATTACTACTGAACCATTATTCTCTTCCAGTTCTCATGCTGTATGAAGATGAGAGATAGAAAAGAGCTTTTGGTAGAAAACTACTTTTTTTCCCAGAGGTTTTCTTAATAGAGAATTCTTGTTCAATTTCAAAACTCTTCTTGTGATTACAATTTAAATTATGATATATCCTTATATATATATAGGAAGAGAGAGAGAGAGAGAAATCGTAAAAAGAATAAGAAAATTTTTAGATAGCAAGTTTATATGACTATATCTTAATGATGCTCTTGGATGATATATTTGCAACTTATGAATATATATCTTTTTTATACCTAAGTCGTAATTTCGTGTTTCAATATTTTCTTTTATTTAAAATTAAAATTCTCCCTCCCGCTCCTCTTAAAAAATATTTCAATTCTAGTCTCTCAATTTAAATTAGTAAAGTGTTTACTGACTATGCTAAGTGACTGACTTTGCTTTTGAATTAGTAAATTTTACTAATAAATTAGAAGAAATGACTTTTTATTAGTAAAATTTATTAATAAATTAGTAGAAATTACTATATATTAGTAAAACTTACTAATTCAAAAGCAAAAAATCCGTCTCTAATTTAAATTAAAAAACATTTTTACAAATTCACATTTAGAGAGTAATACATTATTATTATGAAATTTTTTTTATTTATTTAATTTATCTTTTGACGAGAATTATAAACAGGTGTTTTCTACAAATTACAATTTTAATTTTTAGAACTAATTATTATTTCTTGGCAGTTCAGTGAATAATTAGCTTTTAATTAAATCTATTTGATCGCAGTAATATTTAATTATTATCATTTAAACATCACTGAATATTAATTGTTTAAAAACATTTGAAATTTTTAAAACATTTTTCCTTCCTAATGAAAATTTTTTTTTTTTTATTTTCTTTTTGAAAAATTGCATTAAAATTTAATCAAAAATTTTCTATATATAATAGAATTGGATTTTAATTTAAAGTTCACGGTATTAAAAAGTATCAAAAGTTTATTTTCACTATACAAAGGAGATTAAGAAAACTTTAGGTATTCAGATGGCATATTCCGTTTTTGTATCTACATATAAAGGCTTCCTTGGTTCAGAGCATGGTCGAAACTAGAAAATAGGTCAGGGATTTTATTTGAGTTTCCCTTGAAGCAATGTTCTCTAGATATACACAATATATATTTATATATAAAAAGGACGTGTTACAAATAGAAAATAAGGAGAATTTTTTTTTATTCTTGAAATTCAAAAAAAAAAATATTGTCATGATTTTAGTTTTTTGTTTGAACTGTCATATAAGGGAAGCAGAAAATTTAAGAATTGTAGCTCTTTTTAATAAATAGTACAATAATTTTATAAAATATTCTGATCTATTTAAAAATATAGAAATATTTTTAAAAATACCCTAATGTATTAAAAATTCTGAAATATTTTTAAAAACATTCTCAAGTATTTAAAAATTTTAAAATATTTAAATATTTTTGAAAAATATTTTAAAGCGTTGAAAATATTAATAAAATAATACTTTTTTATTTGATGAGAATTTAAAAATATTTCCCCAGGGTTAGTTTTTTGTAAAAAAAATTTAGTTTAGTCTTTTTTAAAAAATTTTTGTAAGCGTATGTAAAAACGACAATTTACATTCTAACACTTTTAGTTTGATTGCCAATCGAGCTGAAACGTTTTACAATTTAGTTTTGTTCATTTTTTGAAGTGTTGTTTTATTTAGAATTTAATTGTTTCGGAAAACCAAACTCTATACTCGTTGAAAAGGCAAAAAAGGGTCGTCGTTATATGGAAATTATTTCAAACGACTTAATAAAGCCGAGTTAAGTTTTTAACTTAACATTTACATACATGTGAAAATTCGAAAAGGTATTTAAATTTTTGTATAGGAAAAAGTTAGATTACAATAGAATTTTTGAAAAAATTCTTTTTAAAATTGTTTGCTGTGTGCACAATATAATATGCATTTCGTAAATGGTAAAGTTTACTTTGAAAATATAGTAAAAATTAACAGAAGTGGGCAAAAAACTGTATAAAATTTTTGTTTAATTTTTATTATTGGTTAAATTTTTTTTTGGTTAGGTAAATTTAACTAATAAATAATAATTTCTACTAATTTATTAGTAAAATTTACTAATTGAAAAGCGAAAAGTCAGTCACTAATTCAAATCAATAAACAGTTTTACTAATTCAAATTTAGAGAGTAATTTAATTTGTGAAATTGGACTTTTTTGTAGTTATTTATTTAATAAAAATTAGTAATTTTCTACTAATAATTTTTTATTTTTTACTAATTGTTGAACCAAAAAGTCAGCCATGATTTAACTAATAATTAGTTATTTTCAATTAATTAAGATTTAGAAAGCATGTAAATAAATATTTGTTTGATATAAATAAATATTTATTTGTTTTGAATTTATTTGGTGCAAACACTTTTTTAATATGGTTGTAGCAACATTTGAATCAAATAAAATTTTTACAATGCATTGATTATCTTCTCTCGAGGACGGCGTTAATAATTTTTTACGAGATTTTTATTTTTATTTTAAGGAAGTAGGAAATTTTAATAAAATTTTAAAATTTTGAATTTTTAACCGCATGAAAATGTAATAAACTTGGAAAATCGAAATTGTTAAATTTCAGCACTGAATTTCTAACATGTGATCGTTTGTAGTGAGCTTGATCAGTTGTATTGGATTCGTAACAGCAATAGGGCCAGTGTTCGATTCCTGATGATTAGATTTTTTTCCATTAAGGATTTTCTTAAATTTTAATTTTCGAAATTTTTATCAAAAATAAATTTGGTTCATTTCATCGAAGGAAGTAAAATTAAAAAAAAATACGCTGATTACAAGTGACAGAAAAATTTTGTTTCTAAAAAATAAAATGCATTCAACGAGATTTTGAAATAGGAGGAGACAAGTTTATATTTGCAAATATATTCCAAGTGCCAAGAATGTATTTCAACTAATTTTTTTCTTTTTTTTCTTCTTTTCTGTATATATATATATGAAATCCGTAAAATTGCCGACGTGAGTATAATAAATGCATTCTTTTTCCGAGAGGAGTCTTGTTTTAGAAATTCGACTCTTGTCTGGTTGGAAGGAGTCTATTTGCTGTATCCTGGGTGAGCAGAGGCCAGGGATATATTTTTCTTTCGTACGCTTCTTTCTTTCTCTCCTGTCTCACTCTCGCCTTTGTCTCCCTGGAAACCTTGCGGTAGTTATGCGACGTTCGGCTCCTATAAGGAAACGCTTGTGTGCAGCATAGACGGTCGCGGGATGAGGGTACGATCCAGAAACGTGACTTGGATGCAATATTTAAAAGCAGCTCTCTCGGCGTCAATACTCTCTTGGCGACATCCTTACGCACGAAATTCAAAGTTTTGCTTGTCTTT